CCTGCCACAACACCTGGCTATTTTTTGGTTGCAGTTGTCATTGTTGTTCGGCAGGCCCGGGCCAGGTTCAAACCCGCCAGCCTAGGTGTATGTGGCTGGCGCCCTACTCACTGAGCTACAGGCCCTGAGCCTAACCTCTGCTCTTTGACGAGTCTCAATTGGGGTGGCGGGGGGGTCCTAGATTTGCCCAAGGAAGGGCCCCTCTTTTAACAACTTGGAGTCTCTGGAGGAAGATGCATCATCTGTTTTTCCAACTGACCCTCTTTAAACTTGGGAGAGGAAGCTGTTTATTTCATAGACACAGATGATCTAATCTCTCTTTCTACCTTCCTTCTCTGGATGCTCGTTTAGTGGTGCACTGGATTCGGCTCACAGTAGCCCTGAGTGCCTGTTGTGTGTAACTCTGCCCAACTCTTCCAGTGAACTCACGTTCTTAGCTAGGAATCAGCCAGGGTGGGAGTATTTACACACAGTAATTGGCCACTGCTGCCAATCACTTACTGTTAGACACTTAGGTGCCCTGTCCCATGGGAGGCCGTGTGCAAGGCCAGCGGTGGTAAGGTGGGGGGCAGTGGTGTCTCAGGTCCCTCAGCTGACTGGGTGTTGTCTCTGGGGCCGCAGGACACCTGGTACGAGTTCCGGGTCCTGGCCGTCATGCAGGATCTAATCAGCGAGCCCAGCAACATCGCCGGCGTCTCCAGCACAGGTACTTTGGGGTTGGAGCATCTCTTACGATGACAGTGCTGTAAAGCCCACAGCCACCTGGGAGTCCCTTTGTGAAACGGCTGATAGAGAAAAGTCTGGATTGGCACCGACATGAGTCACAGCATTTCTTAAGCCCTCTGGGGCTGTGCTTCTGTGACACACAGCATTTTATTCAACTTAGGTTTCAGACTCACCTGTAAGTTAGCCATGTAAAGAAATTCAACCAGTGTTCTTAGAGTGGTCAAAAGGACTGGATTTCACAGTTGCTTGCTATACATTTTTAGTGTCCTCTGGTGTTACACTCTGTAATGGGGGGGCATGAATGAGAAGGCAGGAACAACAGGTCAAGTATTTACTGAATGTCTGCTGCAGACTTCTTTCTAATTATATGGGTTTTATTTGGCAAATTGTTGTTTGCCTCCGTTCCTTCCTCTCCCTGGATCTTTTCAGGCTAAATAAAGCCAACTCCCCAGCATTTTTTCCATTTTTCTCTCTTTCTCTTGGCCCTGGTCCCATTCCTGCACATCATCCCTCCAGCTACAGTTCCTGAAACCCAGCAGGGTCCCTCCCCGAGTGAAGGAGAATCCTTGATTTGGGAAGAGCAAACCAATAGTGGCGTCATTTCCTTAGGCACTGCTGGCCTGGAAAGCCCCGGGACCCAGCGGCAAGGATCTTGGCCGAGAAGCTGGTGCTGTCAGATTAACAGTGTTAGGAAGACGCTCGTGTGGGCAGCCTGCGGGGACGGGAGGGCTGAAACGTCACCAGTGTGGGGAGTAACAGTGGGACATGATTCTGCCTCTTCCACACCAGTGGACTTTTTACAAAACGAAGTGATCCTCCTAGAGGCAGCACAACCAGAGAGCTTCTGTCTTGGCTTCTCTCCAGGGGAGAGACTCAGACGTAGAGGGACAGCCAAGGCCAGATTAGAAGGCTTGAGCGTTTTGCAGGCTCATCGCAGCAGACTGTCTTTCTCGGTAGCTTGGGGCCTGGCTCCCAAAGGAAAGGTGCCTAGTCAGACAATTGCAGGCGGGTGCATGAGGGTGCAGCCGTCTCAGCACTCCCTGTCTTTGGTCCTGCCGTTTCTGAAAGCTGTAATGTTCATTTCCCTCTCAGCCAATCAACATTATTGATGGAGCCGTGAATTCTGGCCAAATATATCACACTATATCGATTTTCCCTGTGCTGAACCTAGAGTGGCACTTACTGATATCGCTGTCCTACGAGTGTATTACACAGGCTGGGGGCTCGTCCTGGGCTGTGTTATTGATGAGCTCTGTGTATGTGGGCATGACCGGGGCCTCTGTTCTTTACCTAAAAAGGGAGCACCCACCTATCTCTGCTGCCCCTGCCAGCTCTGTCCCTGAGATGACCAAAGTGTGCTAGTCTTTACTGCTAGAAGCTGCGTGCCTGTACTGTAATGGATTTAAAGATGGGTGGATCTGAATTCTATCGTGATAATCCCTCTCCCTGCCATAGTACAATAATTTACCCTTGCGGTGTCTTCATACATGGGCTCTTATTTTGTAGAGACAGCAGTGGGTGGCAGCAAATCCCAGATAGAACACAAGAGCGGCTGGGTTCTGGTTTGTGACTGAGGGCAGGGTCTATCTGCTAAGCGACTCAGAGTTTTTTCATTGAGAGAGTGGGAACAGTATATATGTGAGAAGGTCCGATCACGTGCATGCAATGCTTGGCAAAATGCAAAGCACCAGCAAGTATGGATCGTTGTTGCAATAAGGCATAGAGGCCTGTCTTCTTTGGAAGCTGTGTGCAGGTTACTTGACTTCGGGACGCTCTCCCCTTCTCTCTCTTCATGATGCCGTGCAACCTGTTGAGGGTTAGCGCTGAGCGTGGAGCCTGAGCCTCAGTACTGTCGTCCCGTGGAGGCAAAGCAGGACACTTGAGGACTGTGTGTCGGGGCAGGTGGGGGCCCGGGAAAAGACAGACTCGCGTGCTCTCTGCCCTCCCTGCAGACATCTTCCCGCAGCCGGACCTGACCGCGGACGGGCTTGCGCGGCCTGTGCTGGCTGGAATCGTGGCTACCATCTGCTTCCTGGCAGCTGCCATCCTGTTCAGCACCCTGGCCGCCTGCTTTGTCAACAAGCAGCGCAGGCGTAAGCTCAAACGTAAGAAAGGTAGGTGTGGGTCCCCGTCCCTGCATGGCCTGCGGGAGATGCTGCCCATCAGGAGAGATGGGCCCTTCCTAGCATGAACTCCCCTTGGAAATAGGGACATGGGACTTTTGTGGGTAGAGCTACCAGTGGGACCTGATTTGAAGGAGGGAGGAGGGAAGTGAGAATCACAGGGGAGGCTGACGGGCTGGGGCCTGAGCTGGTGCAAAGGCAGGGCACGGCAGGCACCGGCTTCTGAGCTATGCCCAAAGGTGCCAGACGTGAACGCAGCCCCTTCCTTCTGCGCTTGCTGTGCACGGCTAACCCCTGGGCAGGAGGAGGCTGAGCTGCTGGCGGCTGCGGCCTCAGTGGGCTCTCTCCCTTTCTTTTCCCTTGCAGACCCTCCACTCTCCATCACTCACTGCAGGAAAAGCCTGGAGTCTCCGTAAGTGTCTCTGACGCTAGAGGAAATATGCAGTGGTCGACAGTGGAATGTGGGAGGAGGTGGCGGTCCGGCACAGGTGGACCGTCCACCTCGCCCAGCCCCGGTTCTGTGTTTCTAAGCTGTTGACTGTTAATTGACCCATGTATTTATTTTAAGTTGTCCACACCAAGACACAGAGTGGTAGTATAATAATCCGTATTAGTGAGTCAGAAGCTCTTCAGTAGCCCTGGATGGTATTTCTCTAATTTTTTTCCCAGCCTAACAGATATGCCTTCATGATGTGTCTTGCTGAAGTCAGTATTAAAATGAGCTTGTGTTTCCTGCACAAGCAGACGTGAGGCCAGAGTGTGCTCGGGCAGAGTGAGGCAGTCTAGAATAAAAGCACAAAGGGGTTGTTCATTCCAGAGATGGCTGAGGCACATCCAGATGATGGAGAGTGGACCAAAGTAATTCTTAGCAAGAGACACAGCCTGTTCTCTCCAGCGTCACCTTCCTGGGAGTTAGTTGTTTGTTGGGAGAGGGATGAGCAGTCCTAGGCCAGCGTGCACCCATGCCTCACGGCCTCCTGGCTCTCCTCCTCCCGCAGCTTGTCCTCTGGCAAGGTGAGCCCCGAGAGCATCCGGACACTCCGGGCCCCATCAGAGTCCTCTGACGACCAAGGCCAGCCTGCAGCCAAGAGGATGCTGAGCCCCACCCGGGAGAAGGAGCTGTCGCTGTATAAGAAGACCAAGAGGGCCATTAGCAGCAAGAAGTATAGTGTGGCCAAGGCTGAGGCTGAGGCAGAGGCCACCACCCCCATCGAGCTCATCAGCAGGGGCCCCGACGGCCGCTTTGTGATGGACCCTGCTGAGATGGAGCCCTCGCTGAAGAGCAGGCACATCGAGGGCTTCCCCTTTGCAGAAGAGACCGACATGTACCCCGAGTTCCGCCAGTCGGACGAGGAGAATGAGGACCCGCTGGTGCCCACATCTGTGGCTGCTCTCAAGTCCCAGCTGACCCCTCTGTCGTCCAGCCAGGAGTCCTACCTGCCACCACCAGCATATAGCCCTCGGTTCCAGCCCCGTGGGCTGGAGGGCCCCAGCGGCCTGGAGGGTCGTCTCCAGGCCACGGGCCAGGCCAGGCCCCCGGCCCCCCGGCCTTTCCACCACGGCCAGTATTATGGGTACCTCAGCAGCAGCAGCCCTGGGGAGGTCGAGCCACCTCCCTTCTATGTGCCAGAAGTGGGCAGCCCCCTGAGCTCTGTCCTGTCGTCCCCACCCCTGCACAGCGAGGGGCCCTTTGGCCACCCCACCATCCCTGAGGAGAACGGAGAGAACGCTTCCAGCAGCACGCTGCCCTTGGCCCAGACGCCCACAGGAGGGCGCTCCCCTGAGCCCTGGGGCCGGCCGGAGTTCCCCTTTGGGGGGCTGGAAGCCCCAGCCATGATGTTCCCCCACCAGCTGCATCCTTGTGACGTCGCCGAGAGTCTGCAGCCCAAGGCCTGCCTCCCCCGAGGACTGCCCCCCACCTCCCTGCAGGTGCCCGCGGCCTACCCAGGCATCCTGTCCCTGGAGGCAGCCAAGGGCTGGGCGGGCAAGTCACCTGGCAGGGGTTCTGTCCCAGTGCCCCCCACGGCCAAGTGGCAGGACAGACCTATGCAACCTCTGGCGAGCCAAGGGCAGCTAAGACATACCAGCCAAGGTATGGGCATACCCGTGTTGCCTTACCCCGAGCCGGCCGAGCCCGGGGGGCAGGGCGGCCCCAGCACATTTGGCCTGGACACCCGGTGGTATGAGCCCCGGCCCCGGCCCAGCCCCCGGCAGGCCAGGCGCGCCGAGCCTAGTTTACATCAAGTGGTGCTACAGCCATCTCGGCTCTCACCTCTGACCCAAAGCCCCCTGAGCTCCCGCACTGGCTCCCCTGAGCTCGCCGCCCGAGCCCGGCCTCGCCCAGGCCTCCTGCAGCAGGCAGAGATGTCGGAGATCACCCTGCAGCCGCCAGCCGCGGTCAGCTTCTCCCGCAAGTCCACGCCGTCCTCAGGCTCTCCTTCCCAGAGCAGCCGCAGCGGGAGCCCCAGCTACCGGCCCGCCATGGGCTTCACCACTCTGGCCACAGGCTACCCGTCCCCTCCGCCGGGCCCCGCGCCTACTGGGCCTGGGGACAACTTGGATGTGTTTGGACAGACGCCTTCCCCTCGAAGGATGGGGGAGGAACTGCTCCGACCAGAGCCCCCCCCACCCACATTACCTACTTCAGGGTGAGTGTGAGCGGCATCTCCTGCCAGCTGCACCTGGTCAGCCTCCCTCCCCACTGCCACCCTGCCCCCACCCGTCCATCCACCCAGTGACAGGGCTTGTTTGCACACGCTGCAGCATCCCCTCGGGAGAGGAGTTCTGGCCACTACGGCCACGGCACTGGCAGGCTGTGGGCACAGGGTGGCGGTGCTTTCCTGCCCGGTACCCGGCCAGCAGCATGAGGGATCTTTTCTACCTGGCCCAGAGTGCCCAGAGGCCCGCAGCATTCCTGGGAGTGGCTCACCTAGGATAGGGGGACATGGTGTATCAGAGCAAGTGGCCTTGGGATGCCCCAGTCCCTCTTGGCCCTGAGGGCTTTCCACGTCCCCATGATCCTGGCAATGGGCAGTGGTGTCTGGGGCCTCTCACCGGCCTTGTGTCCAGCCTCTTTTTCTTCCTGGCCCCGCCTCCTTGCTAAGCAGGACCATATCTGGAGCCTGACTGCCCAGGACCACCAGGCCAGGGGCCTCCTGTTCCCAAACTCTGCCCCTTAACAGCCTTAGTGAGTGCCGGACTCTGGCCCCCCTCCATGGCCTGTCCTGGAGACTCACATCCTGAAGGCCTGGAGAAAAGTCTCAGACCTTGTGACCGTGTGCGGGAGCCACACACCCCATCCCCCTGTGTGCCTCGCAGGAAGCTGCAGAGAGACAGACAGACAGACAAGCTCCCGCGATCAGCCTGCCTGAGCGAGCACTCTAAACTGTAGCCGTGGGTATTCCAGGTACCAGAGCCTGGATGCCTGTCTGTGCCTCCAATTCTCTTGTCTTTCTGCCCTGCCCACCCCCTTCTCTAGTCAGTCTTTCTCTCCATCTTTCTTCCTTCGCCACGGTCTCTGGGTTGGCCCGACTTGCTCAGGAGAGCCTGCCACGTCTCTAGTGCCCCGGATGCCCTTCCCTGCCTTTCCCCTCTTCTCTTTCTCTCTCTCTGGCTCCGTCCTTTGGTCTCTCTTCTTGATGTAGCACCTGTGGAGGGGAGCAGAGAGTTCCAGAGCAGGCTGGCCTGGTGGTAGGCAGGATGGGGGTGGCCGAGGAGGGGGCCCTGTGCTCTCCCCTGCCCCTGTCCCCCACCCTCTCTGGTACCTGGAAGTGCAAGCTCACCTCTCACCTTCAGTCCCACGAGGGCTGCTGGGGAGGAGGAGGGCCTGGCGGGCGGCGGGGCGCAGGAGAGCTCTGGCTAGGGTCCGCCTCTGCCTGCAGGATGCTGTCTCCGCAGCTCTGTCTGTGCTTGCGCAGTGCTCATCTGCTTCCCCCCATCGTGCGTCTGGGTCTCGTCTCTCTCCTCTCCTCCCTCACCCATTCTCTGGCCTCGCCTGTCGCCTGTCTCGGTGCTCGCTGTGCCCCCCCTGCTTCCCTCTGGGTGTGCGTGGGCGGTTGACCCCGGCCGGTGTTGATAACTGCTTTGTTTCTGATTGATCTCAGCTATCTGGGCAGTGTTGTCGAGACAAGCCTCTCCTCAGCTCAATAGGTAAGGGAGCTCCTCGGCGGGCGGGCGGGGGCGGGCAGGCGGACGGGGCTTTGGCAGGGCCATTGCTTCCTGGACAGGGGATCCAGAATCATGTCCCCTCACCGCCCTGTGGGTGGCAGTGCCGCTCCCTGATCCCCATGGCTTCTGGGTTCCCCACATCGGGCCGCTCCAGGCCACGCTCGCTCAGATACCTGCCTCGCTGCAGCTTCTGGCCCCCCCATTCCCCACGTCTAGCCCCCTGCTAGCTCCCTTGTAGGTCCCCTCTCTCAGACATCTCACCAGACTGCTGTCAACACACCCAGGGCCTCCCACAGAAGCGCTGGGCTCTGCATGCACCCCAAGAGGCCCAGAATGCCAACATCGGCTTTGCACCCCTGCACCCTCAGGGCCACCCTGTTTTCCCAGTAGTCTCAGACATAGTGTCCCCTCCCTCCCTCCCAACACCCAAGGGCTCTTCTCCGGGACTGTTGCTCTCTCCCTGCCTTCTTGGGGTCTTCATGATACACATATTCGGTCCTTTCAAGGAGCATGAGGTTGAAGCGTGGCCCACGTCTTCCCTCAAGAGCAGGGTCTTCCTAAGGGTCAGGTCACCCGTAGTCCTACCAGGGCAAGGGCTTAGAAGTGTCACCACGTCCCTGTGCTCCAGCATTCTGCAGCCCATTCTTAGTTGCCACAGGACTGAACTGTGACCTCACCCCCAGGTCCAGATGGCTTTCAAGATCCTGGTAGTGGTCATGCTGACTTCCTTGGGCCATGCCATCAGGAGAGGATCTTGGGAGGATCTCCCTGGGGGTGGAGAAGGCAGTTTCCTTGGGGCAAAAGGGTATTGCACTGGCGAGAGGTGAAAACCCCAGGGATCAGCACTGCGTCCCTCCCTCTGTCCCACCGTGGCTGACCCCTCTTTCTACATGTCTTTCTAGTGGAGGCAAAAGGAATATGGATATTTTAAGGGCTGTCTCTCAAGAGGATTAGGTGCCTTGAGGATCACTCTCTCTCATAGAAACCTGGAAGGTTTTTGCCTCCATTGGCAATGCCCCTGGGAACATGCCCATGCAGGCAGCAGTGCCTGGCAGTGGGAGAGAGTGAGCCTCCTGTCTGGGTGCTCTTGGCTTCCTCAGGTCCAAAGTAGCTACATTCTTTCTTCCTAGAGAGGCCTAGGGAGGCTGATTCTCCTAACCAAGGACCATCAATCTCATGCAGTCATGAGAGTGGCCTCCCTTTAGGAGGGTTGACCGTGTGGCATTTCTTCATGATCTGCAGTTATAATGTTGTCACCAAACCCAGAGGCCCTGCAGCTGAGGGGAGGCTGACCAGGAGCCACACCACAACTGTGGGCAGGGAGTGGCCAGAGGCATCCCGCGGCCACCGAGCAACTGGGCTGCCCTCTAACTTCCCCATACTCCCACCCTGGGCCTGGGAGGTGTGGGTGCTTTAGACCAGTCCTCACCTGGCTTCTAGAAGCTTCCTGAACCCCATCCTCTTTGTTACTTCCTCCCGTCCTCACCCCATTCTTGGCCCCCTCTCTCCCAAGGGCCCCCACTGTGCCAGCCCCAGAGAGCCCAGCTAGCCTGTGTGTCTCTGCTGTGGCAAACCCAGAAACCACGGGATGATGGACCATTGTTTCTCTCCTGGGCCTGGCGGGGATCCCAGCTTAGGGGAAGGAAATCCTCGCACTGTTTCCAAGGCAGCCCTTCTGGGTGCTGTGGCAGGAGCCCCCCGCTCGCTCTCCCGCTTGCTGAGAGCCTCCGTGGCGGCGCGGTGGCTGCCGTGGCCGTGGGGAGCCACGGGCTCCTCTTTGGACGCTGTCTCCATGCTGCGCCTTTGCATGTGCCCCTCGGTCTTGCTTGGAGAAGTTGTGACACCTCCTGTCTACGTTCGTTCTCGCTCTGTTTCTATTCCCTGCAGTTTCTTTCCTGTTCCTTCCGCCCACACCTGTAGTTGTCTCTCCTGCCTTTCCTCTTTTCTCTCTCCTTTTTTTCTCCTCTTCCTAACTCCTATCTCAGCGTGGGGAGTTGGCCTGTCCTGTTTGTGAACTGCGAGGCAGCCGAGCTCCCTGTCTGATATCAGTAGTGCCCTGTCCCCACATCTCCTTCTCATCCCCTTCCCCAGTAAGGCTTGCAGTGACCTCGGCAAGGCCTGGGGTCTGGGAGCGTGGTGTGGCCAGGTGAGCCACAGGAATGAGCCCCATTTTGGAAGCTGCTGCTGCCACGTTCAGAGGCAGAGTGCTGGGTCTGACCCTGACTGCACTGGAGAGGCCCCGCCTGCTGTTAGGCTCGGTAGGTGCAGACCTCTAGACTCCTGGCTCTCCATGTGCTATGGGAGAATGGATTTGCCTTTTCCTTGGTGTAGACCTGGATTTCTCTGCCCCCCATCCACAGGCATAATCAGGCAAGTGGAGTTTGTTCTTAGATGGTTGGAAAAGTAGGAAAATGCTCTCAAAGCCACTGCTTCACCCTGCTCACTGAGGGAGGACTGAAACTGGGTGTTAGTGGTCATTTCCCTGGATGTGAAGGGGAGGAAACGTCCAGATGGACTTTGACCTTGCTGTCCTGGGGTTTTGCCTGCGTTTTGAACCTGGCTGCCTCTTTCCTCAGCTCCTCTGGGTGAGCAGAGCACTGGGCAAGGAAGACCTATTGGCCTACATGGGCGTGACTTGGCTTTTCTGTGGAATTTTTGAAAAGAGAGAAAGAAAAAAAGTGTGCGTGGGGAAGCCTTAAACTAAATTCCAGGCAATTTTTGGCAGTCTTAAACTGCAAGAAACACCGCCGGGCCTGGGTTTTGTGGCCTTTTGGCAATACTTGGGCTTCCTGGGAGAAGGCGAGCCGAAATGTTTGCAGAATTCCTGTGTATTTGGGAAGAATTCTGGCTGACGGGAAAGAGAACTGTGACCTCAACTTCCTGGAAAGCCCAGGGTTGGATTCTGTTGCAACAGGGTAATCTACGGGTCAAAATCAGCTTTACTTGACAGCTTAGTTCCAGGGACAGAATAGCTTCCCAGCTGAGGCATCAGGATCAAAAACTTCATTACCGGAGGCCAATGATGAAGTGACAGTGACAGTGGACATGGTTACCCTTTGTAGAAAAGGGAAGCAGTCTGATTCTAGAAGCCTTTACATGTTTACCGATAAAGCCTATTTCACGCCTTCTCTCATCCTGCTCGACACTTATTTGCTTTCATTTTTTCCCTCCTGCCTTGGGTGAGTGTCTTGGGTTTGAGCCCTGTGCCAAGAGTTCAGACAGGTGGACAGCAGGTGGCCTGGAAGGGCTGTAGCTTGGCTGTTTCTCACGGGAAAATCGGCTTCTCCTCCTCAATTTATCATTACCGTTGGGGAACTTTTGCCAGATTTCCCCCACCCCTGGTCTATCTCACCCTGGCTCTGCCATGGAAGCAGAGATCATCAGTGACTGGGTGTTAGACAGGGTGGGACACATTTATTTCTTGGGTGTGGCATGGATGCAGTGGTTTTTTTCTGTGTAGCTTCAATAGCTGTGTTTACTGGGAAGAAGTTTAAAGAGCATTAGCCTAAAGGTGAGAGGCCTGGTTCTATCTCATGATACCTGGATTACTGGACAAGGTGCCTGACCTCTCTTGATTTCACCATCTCCATCTGAAAAGTGGGGGTCAGTGTGGTATTCACCTCTTAGAGTTGCGATCAAGGTTAAAGGCGTTTCATAGAGAATAGGACAGTGCTCAGGACAGTACGTAGCAGGCTAGATGGTACCACTGAAATAGTAATTCAATGTTGATTCTGACAGTCTTATCTACCTCGGCAGCTTCCCTGGCTTGAACACTTCATAGAGATCGTTGGGGGCCTTCCCATCCCAGTTTCTCTCATGCCCTAGCCAGCTGGGGTTAGCTCGGAGGCACTGTTCTTGCTTGTCACATGTCTGCCCAGGCCACACGTTGCTCATCTTTTTCAGTCCTTCTGAGGAGGCTGGCCAGGACCAGAAGACAGAGGTCGATGGAGTGGGTGGGTTCATGTCTTTGATTTTCCTTTTAGGCAGCATGAAGAAGCCATCCGTAGTCAAGGAGGAGAGGGGATGACGACATTGCTCCAGCACTGGGGAGGCGTGCTCGCTCCTGCCCTGGGCAACTCACCCTTTGTCTGCCTTCCAATTCCCTGCCTGCTGCCGCTGCCCTGGTGCAGGATGTCTCGGGGTAGCTGGCATAGTTTGCAAAAGAGGAAGGAAAGCGGTGTGGGCGTATTGGGTCTTTGGGGGAGACTTGACTTCTGACGGTGAGTTAGACTACTTTCCTGGGAAGTGTGTGTGCCTCGGCAAGCCTCGTAGCTCTGCTGTCAGGGGATATAGGAAATGAAGACTTGTCTCTGAACTGAACTTGGAGGGAGCTTCTTGATACTTTATGGACTGCAGGACTATAGTATGGTGACATCCCTCCAAGAAGATGGAGGTCACGTCATTGCCAGTTGATGCAGGAATCTCCAGAAATGGGAAGCTTATCTACAATTAGTCTGTAAGTTTCCTCTTCCTGCCTCCCTGCAAAGACATTTGATGTTAGGGATGTGGGGCTGCAGTCTTCTCATCCCTCTAACATTTTTTTTTTTTTTTTAAATCTCAGACTGTTTGCTGACCTCTGCGGAATTCTTTTGCCCTTATAGGGTAGTCTGTTCTACTTCTTTTAATCAGGATTTGCTAAACACTGATTGCCCTGGAGATGGGGGAGGGAGATGAGAATGTTGAGGAGAGGAAGAGCGGGGGTCATACCCATCCACTATGGCCTTAGAGCATTCCCGCTCCCCTGATCCTGAGCTGGCTAATACTGGTGCTGTTGAACACAGAGGTGACCCGTCTTTCTTTCCCCGCTTTATTCCCCAGGGGCCTCGTTGGGCAAACTTTGAGAGCAAATGGCATTAATAATGTGTTTTCTATATTATCTTCTTTTACGACTTTGTTTATTTTTTGAGACAGGATCTCGCTGTGTTGCCCAGGCTGGAGTGCAGTGGCGTCATTGTAGCTCACTGTAACCTTGAACTCCTGGGCTCAAACAATCCTCCTGTCTCAGCCTCCTGGGTAGCTGGGACTACAAGCATGCATCACTGCACCTGGCAAACTTTTCTATTTTTAGTAGAGGCAGGGTGTGGCTCTTGCTCAGGCTGGCTTCAAACTCTTGAGCAAACTCTTGAGCTCAAGCAATTTTCCCACCTTGGTCTCCCAGAGTGCTAGGATTAGAGGGGAGAGCTACCACCATTGCGCCTGGCCCCTTTATAACTCTTGAAAAATTCTCTCCCGTTTGCACAGAGTGTTGGAGACCACACCTCCCCCCAGTCCTCTTTGGCCCCCTTTGAGCTACAGCCCGGGCTCCAGGTGAATTGGTGACCATGTCTTTAACCATGCAGTTGACCCAGCAGGCAAATGACAAAGTCCATTTCACAATCACAGTGGAGAAAGAGAGAGCTAAATATGTGGCCTCCTTTCCCAACCACCTTTGTTTCTCTGTGGAGTCTTACCATACACCGACACTTGTTAGAGACCGATAGCAGGGCCCTTGCGGGCCTGCTAGACACGGATCTCTGTCATAATCTCCTGCCACCCTCTTCTGTTCTCTTACATGACTAGGGAGATCTGAGCCTAGTCTGCAGGGTCATGGAGACGCCTCTGCTGAAAATGTAAATGACAAGTATTTGTTGCCATTAGCTGTAGAGGTTCTGGCTGAATCTTGAGGAGGACGGGACGAAGCTCGGTGAAGCCTGGTTTTGCCAGCATGGCTCGCTGGCTGCGGCCTTTTTTGGTTAGCCTTCCCTTCCCTGCAGATGGGGGACAGTGCACTGGGATGGTGACTGCTCCTCTCCTGCTCTCATTCACCCTTTTACTTTTCACGGAAAGGTCTTAACTGAGATGATGTCGAGGAACTTCAGAAGCTGAACCTGCTTCCTTCCCTGACACTAACGCGTCCCGGCTTGAGCCGTGTGGGACGGGGCTGATTATTAAAGTCTCTCTCTCCTTTTCCTAGGGTCTTCTGGTTGTTCTGCAGGTTGGGTTTCATCTGAGGCAGCCCACGCCACTGGAGCTTCCGACAGGGTGTTCTCCCTTCCAGGAGCAATAGAAAGGCAGGTGTCAAGGAGCCATCCAGGACACCTTGGACTCCAAAGAACTGGACTCTATCCTCCTCTGGGTCAACCGTCTGGTTTCCTTGCAGCCCTTCTTCAAAAGCTCCCTCATATGGGAGTTGACCTGTGCTCTCTAATTGTTCCTTCCAGAACACTTCCACCTGCACCCGGGAATGCTGCTGCACCTGAGAGGCTGGAGGCTCTGAAATACCAACGGATAAAGAAGCCCAAAAAGTCATCCAAGGGCTCTTCGAAGTCAAAGAAACGATCCGGTAAATGGTGGGAAGCAACCTGGTCCTCTCTTTCCACCTTGCCTTGCCGTTATGAGGATTGCCAGGCTCAGATCCCAACCTTGGTTTTCCTCTAGAGTTGAACCCATCAGCTTCTCTTGTTCTTTGTTTCTTTGGCAACCCTAATTTTCAAGTGAGACACGCAATTTTCATGTACAAAGCAAGAAAGATAAAGCTAAAAATCTCTCATTGCCCCCTGAATGTGTTTCCACCACCTAGAGGACCACATACCTTCAGATCCCTTTCTGTGCCTACAGCTTTAGAAAATGCATTCTATTATTTCATGTAGCTTTAAACAACATATATATACTCCCCCCTCCACCACTACCAGGGGGTAGTCCACCTTCAAATAGCTCCATCTTTTTGCACTATACAGAGGGTGTCAAAAAATGTATACACATTTTAAAAAAGGAAAAAAAACTGTATTGAAGTTGTAATACTGAATATCTACTGATAACAAAAGATGAATACAAGTCACGATTGATTTCTGTGATCATAGGAGGTACTCGAAGTGCTTACCATCAGCATCCAGACACTTCTGATAATGGTGACCCACTGTTGAGCCAAGTATTCACTTACGTCACTGTAGATGCCATTTCAATTTCTTCCTGAAGGAGCTCCAGTATAGCCGGTTTTCTGTGGTAACCATGTCCTTTAAGGTCCCCTGTCTTCGTGCCACCATTGTTGTATCTTCACAACATTCTCGAATTTCAGTGCCACTTCCAAATGGTCTTGCCCTCCTTTACGAGAATGACACCTGTGTTTCCACCATTTTCTTTGACATCCTCCTACAGTGGCAGGGTGACGCTAGCATCCATCTCATCAACCTCATCTTTTGAGCCAGTATCATAATTACTACCATAATTCAATTCAGCTTTGAAAAGTAATACACAGATAACATCTCTTAAAATGTGTAACATGTTTTGGACGCCCCAGGTATTTCTCCTCCCTCGTTCTAGACCCTCTAGTCAAACACGGGCATGATGAGGCCCTGTGTGGTTCTCAGGGTGCCACGGTGGTGTGGGCCCAGCCTCTGCAGGGCGACTAAACTTTTCTCAGTGACGTAGAGTTGAACCCCCTCTGCGTCCTATAGAAAGGGCACCTCTCTTGAAATATGTCTGATGTTTATCCAACAGAATAGGTAGCTTCTGAGATAGAGCGAAAATAATCCATCCTTCTTTTAGGCATTAGAAAATTCCTCAATAGTTATCAAATGCTCTGTTTTCTCCAGCGGTTTGGGGAGTGTCATGGCAGGCTGTCAAGGAAGCGTGTAGGACAGTTCCTTTGCTGATCTTTGGTAACTACTATAGAGTAACTTCCTTTAGAAGGGGGTTGTACAGAAGTGAAGCCCCTGGATCTTCAGGAGATGGTAATGACTTATCCATCGCTTACCTTTTGGGTGGTGCTCAGTTTATAGAGGGGAATATATACTGAGGCAGGAAAAAAATGAATATTTTAGGGCTTGAGTGAAATTAGAGCCCAATGCTGAATTTTCAACCCCTTAAGCACATTTCGGTTTAAGACCCACCAGTATGTATTATATATATGTGGATATATATATTATATATATACACATACACACATATGTGTATATGTATAATTTATGTTTGTTTATCGCAAAAAAAGTCACAACAGGTGTCTGTATTCTGTCTTGTTCTGATGGCAGTGGTCCTGCTACCTGTTTGGTGTTGACAACTCTCAAATGGCTGTGCTTAGCCCAGATTCTTCCGTGGGGTCAGGTCTCCTATTTCTAGTTGCCTGCTGCACATGCACTTGGGTGTTTCATTAGCCTTTGAGATGTCTAAAATAGAGTTATTGATTATCCTCCCTGAATCCTCCTCAGTTCTTCCCCAGTTCTTGCCTTCACTTACATCCACTCCACTTGGTAAGGTCTTCTGAGTCAGCAGCTCCATCATACCCTGAATCTGGCCGCTTCTGTTTCCGCAGCTCACTGCATTCTGAACTGCCTTTCCCTTGCTGACTGCAGCACGTCACAGGGGCTCAGCGGCTGGTCCCTGCACCTTGCACGGTCTATTTCTCACACGGCCACCAGGGGGAGCTCTAGAACATGTACCAGCTGCCCCCTCAGTCACGGACACGGACACACACACACACACACACACACACACACACGACACTCCTCTGAGTAAAACCTTCCAGAAACGTCCCATTGCAACCAGAACAGATTTCAAACTCCTGGGACACGCCACCCATCTTTCTGGCCTCTCTCTGCCTTGGCTGGGATAAACTCCCTTCTGTGTTGGGAACTTGGCTTGTTAGCGGGATTTTTGCCATTGCTCTTCCTTCTGCTGGGAATCATTTGATAGATTGATAGATAGATCTGAGGAGATCTATCGAAGACTCTCAAGTCAAGGCTCACGTTTCACCCTTCAGGGAGCAGAAGTGGTGCTTCCCTTGTCTGCTGTCACATCGGATCTTTCTTTGTAGCACGCTCAGTGTCTGCAAATTCTCCTTCTGTATTTGCTACGTCTGGACAGTTTGTCTCTTCCTCCCCTCCCCCGAACTAAAGTATAATCTTCTAGAAAGAAAGGCTCTCCAGCTGCATTGCCAGAGAGGCCGTGAACAGAGGTGTGGCCCTGGCAGGCCAGGGAGCCTCAGGTCCGACTATTGCATATGATTAAAATCTTGGGCAAAGTCTGTCCTTGCTTGGCATGGGTGAGGAAAATGTATTGAGTCTTGCTCTGTTCTTAGAAGCTCTGGTCCCCAGTACCTGGGAGGCACTGAAAAAGAAATATTTATAGATTGACTAGATTTCTTTCTATCAACAGAAAGAAAAATCATTCGTCCAACTTCCTTTACTCTCATTCTAATGAGGCAAGCAGGGCCGAGTTGTGGTGACGGAGGTGGTTTCTCTGCAGCTGTTTGGTTCTGTCTTCCCTACACTAGGGGATTCCTTTTTTTTTTTTAATATTAGGGACTCAGAACATATCCCCTGACAGGTGGAAGAGGTGAGTGTGTGAGGCTGTGCGCCTCCTTTTCACCTGCGTCTTTTCTTTTCTTTTGCATACCTGCCCCCGTCCCCTAGACGGTCCTGCCTCCCAGGCTCAGCAGCTCCCCAGCTCTCAGGTTCTGTGGCCCGATGAAGCTGTCTGCCTCCGGAAGAAGAAGAGACACTCTCGTCCTGACCCCTTTGCCCGGCTCTCAGACTTGTGTCACCGCCAGCTTCCAGAAGACCAGACGGCAATTCTCAACAGTGTGGACCATGACGATCCTGGCCATGCCACTCTGCTATGATCCAGCCCCACTCTAAGTGTCCCCAGGGCGAGGTGCTGGGCTCATGGGGCAGGGAGGGACGTTGTGCGTGGCGTGTCCTCCTCTGCCCGCCAAGGGATGGCCCAGACCTGTGTTCTGCGTGCTCTCGCTCCTCCAGCTGGCTTCGCCTCTGGGACGGGGGGCTGGGGCAGACCCTCCACCTGTGGGTTAAGGTCAGGAAGTGAACTGGGGACAGGGAGACGCGTGTCTCCTCCCCTCTCCCGCCTGCTTCCCTGCATTAATTTTTCTCACCTCTTCCAATATCTTTGGAAGTGAAGGAGAGGAAAGCAATGGCTTTTATTGCTCTCGGCTTCTGTCTCGGTTTCCCTAGTCCTGGTGAAGGCCTGGATCTCCATGCCGTCTCCCAAACGCCACGCATATATAGATGCAGATACAAACGCATATGTGTGTAGTGTGTGGGCTTCGCTACGTGTGTATATATGTACATTGAAGCAAAGCGCTGTTGCTCGCTGTGGTCAATGCAGGAGGAGGAGGAGGGCGGTGGCCAGCGGGGTTTGTGAGTGAGGCTGTCCCGATCTGGCTGGGTGCCTGGTGTCTGTCTTGAGGGATTCATCCTCCTGAAACAGGACTCATGCCTCTTTACTGAGTTACACCATTTGTCTCCTATCTTCTCCCAGCTGGAGCAGAAATGGGGCCTTGCATTGATTACTGGCTGCTGGTTTGGGTCTTCAGCAGTGAGTTCCTGCAGAACTGAACACATCATCTCTTGGTTCCTGGGTGAAGGAAGGGTAGCCAGGTATATAGGTAGCCAGCCTGGGGTCTCCCTTCCTTCCAGTTGGGTTTGAGCTACATACATAGCAGCTGCTTAGCCGTGGGGCCAAAAGGCGAGCCCCCAGCACACAGAGTCCAGCTCATCCTTCAGCCCCTTTTGGTCCAGCTGGGCCGGGGCACTGTGGCCAAAGCTGCCCCCACTCTGGAGCCACCAGGCTGAGCGCCAGCCTGCCGCGGCTCTATTTATACCGTCTGTGGCTCTGTGCTCTTGGAGCGCTGCTCTGCGGCGGCTGATTGGATCCTCCTTTCCTTTTGTGGGAGCTAATTCCCCAGATTGATTAATTGCCACTTGTGAGCCGCCTATGACTCCTTCCCATGCCCGCTTGGCGCTGCCTGCTCTTCTGCTCTGCCCCGGGCTTCCTCCACCCTGCAGACCCCAGCTCCAGTAGGACGGGATGCGATGCAGCCAGGGAGCCTCAGATTCCCACATTCTGGGGCTCTCTGGGTCCCCGCTGTCTTTTCCCAGTTCCATGTGTGGAGCTGGCTGAGGCATAGGGATGAAGGTGGGAGGGGTGGTAAGTAGGGGTCTGGGCATGACACTTCCTCTGCCAAAGTCCTGTCCTAGTTCCAACTATTAGCATCCAGACGCTTCCGTGAGGCCATCTTCCTACTAAGATGCATCTCTCTCTTCCAATAAGATAATGGTGCTGCCCAGGATGGGGCAGAAAGCCCTGCGGGTGGGCAGGAGGTGGGTCTGCTCCCCACCTCCTCTTGTGCAGGAGCCTCCACTGACAGTGAGGCCTGGAGTAAAGGTAGCTGCCAGGGTCCCTGAGGCGTTTTCTTCTTGGTGCTGCTGTCTTGGTGGGTTTGGGGTCACCCCCCTCTCCCTATGGACCTTAGCCACCTCAGAGCCCTAGGGGGTTTCTGTGGGTCTCATTGCCGCTGCCAGAGGCTTGGCCAAATGACCTAGGTAAGGTGGGTCCTCAGGGGGCTGGGAAGCTGGTCTTTCCTCTGTGCCTGTCCAGGAGGATGGCTCTCTCTGTTAGACAGGCCCTGGTGAGTGGGACCTGCTCCACCCTGAGGTTCACCACGAAAGTCACACTGCCACATTTCACTTCTGAATGCATGGAAGGTGTCACAGTGAGAGTCGTGCATGGGACTGGGCCGTGTGCCCTCGGGTGGAACCTGGACCTTCCCTGGGGCATGAGAACCTACTTGCCCACTGGTCAGCAGCTCTTGCAGAATTGGGAAACAGCAGCTGTGGCTGTGTCCTTTCTCCTTTATGCTGTTGGCTCTGGCATTCTTCTGGGGACAGTGGGAGCAGGCTGACCTGAGATACCAGGGCAGGATGAGGACACATCACAGGTCAGCCTGCAGCCTGCGTCTCCCAGGGCGGAGCTCAGGGTGCGTGACCCAGGTCCTGGGTGGACTGGGAACGTTGGCTTCAGGCTGTTGGACTTTGGGATGAATTTGGCCACCTTTTCTGAGCACTGTCCTAGGAATTCCAGGCTTGGATGTCAGAAAAGAGGAGGAGAAGGGGTGGAAGCCTCTGCTTCCTCGTGGGCGGAGATCCTCAGGCTCTGGCTGTGCTTTCCGGAGGCCCCCAGGACTAACGAAGGTGCTGACTCCCTTCTACTCCACCCTTCCCTGGCAGTGCCCCTTACCTCAGCCTGCCAGACCCAACAGTGGGAGCTATGCTTTTTGTTGACACCGGGTGGCAGTTGTGCTGTGCCGTCCCCCAGGCCAGGGGGAGGACACCAGGTCTAGTTATTTGTCAGTGGCCTAGGACTCCTTGTCCTCCCAAGAAGCCTTCCTTCTGTGACAGTGTCCTCAGATGCCAGCAGCCTTCCTGCACGCCTTGGGGAATGGGCAGAACACAACCCCCTCCCTCCACGGGATGGAGAGTAAAAATGTCACAGGTACACGCTTAGGTGCTGGGTGAGCACACGTGTAATAGTGTGGTCGCGAGTGTGCACACGAGGGGCACGTGGCCATTTCTAGGGACCAACATCCTTGTGATCTGCCTCGGAGACAATGGCAGCGCCCACTGTCCAGCTTCTTAGGACTTCACGCTCCACCCTGTGGGGGACCCCACATCTTCTGAGCATCCCTTCATGGTCGGTAGTCTTGTAGTAGAAGTGACTCAGATGATTCAGATTTTCATCTGCCTCTTCCTTCTGCGTCTTGGTGGGAAACAGTGGCTGTTTGTTACATGGTTCACAGACCAGGAAGAGGGTGACGGTCTGGTCTCCACGGGGCCTGAAAGACTGCGTGTGTGTAGGGAGAGGAGATGAGCGATGGGGGGAGAAGGTGAATGCCGGTTCCTGATTTGCTGCCAGGGCTCCATGACTCTGAGTGGGATCTTGGCTGGGGTGCCATGTTTGGCCTGGCCCCAGCGTCTGGTGGTGGGGCTGTGCCTGTTGGCACCTTTTCTCGAGGGGCTGTGGGTAGGAGAAGCCTTTTGAAATTCTACCATCTCAACAGGAAGGATGCCTTCTTCCCAGCGGGCTGACAGGGTCTGGGCTCCCCTTAAGAAAGGGGTCTGTCTCGGACCGTGCTCTCAGGGAAGGCTCGAGAGGGATGGATTGAGCCGAGTACTTACTGGTATTTTCCCATGCTCTCTCTGTCTTTATTTTTGATTCGTGGTCTAAAATATTTGGGGTTGAACTGATTTCAGTTGTTTTATTTCTCTGCCCTCTTCAGGGAGAGGGAACTGGATTAAGGTTCAGATATGGAATTTTGTGACTTTCTTTTTGCGGAGGTTGCGGGGCGGGTGGGGGGAGGCCAAGCTTGGCAAAACAGTAGCTTCAGAGGAGAAACAGAGTTCACGGAGCACTGGGATGTCTGAATCCAGGGCCAAAGCTTATGTGGCTCCTTCTAATTCTGTTAGCAAAATCTTTTGGGGGGTTTGGGGGTGGGCTGGGGGAAGAATTGTACATAAAGTACATTTATTAATATGTAGAGAAAACCTAGGAAAGAAAAGCTAATGGTTAATCTTGGGCTTGCTTTGCTTGCATGTAAAGGAGCTTCTGGGGGGCAGTGCAGGGAATGCTGGGAAGTATTAGTGAAAGGAGTCAGAAGGTCAAATGGGTGGGTACACAGGGAGCCCCCCTTCCTGTGAGTACAGCCACCCCAGCTCTCTATGGAAACTGCATATTCCCACCACGACGTCTATGCCCAGCCCTGCCCTGTGTCTTCTCTAGACTAAGGTGAGATCAGGTTCCCTCAGGGTAGACACATGCAGCCCTGCACGGCTGTGTTCATTGCTTTGGGGAGAGCGTTCAGGAGTTATCTTAATGGCCAGGTATAAGCCGAATGGGGTCATGGGTTGGGCCGCGGCATTTCAGGAAGGGGAATTAGAGTTGGAGCGTGGAAGGGAGGCCTGTGTGCTTTGCCATGTGTCCATGAGGTTGTGAGGGGTGTAGAGTGTGAGGTCAGGCCTGGATTAGGAGCAGGGACCCTGGAGTATGATGGTGAGATCACGTCAGGGAACACCAAGCGTGTGATAGCTTAGCTATCTCTAGGGTGCAGCGTACCCATCGAGGGGTCACCACCATACAGAAAAGAGTGATTGCCTGGTAGCAGGCCAAGTGGGGCAGGGTGGCCCTGCAGGGCATGTCGGGGGCCTGTGTGGGAGGGGGGCGTCTAGTTGAGAACAGACTGTGGGGTGGGGTCCCGGCATGCGGGCCCAGACCTGATTTGGGGAGAGGTCTTGCTTCTTCGTCAGACTTTTTTGCTTCTTCTCCAATTAGCCTCAAACACTTAAGTGCCCAAACCAAACCTGGACATCCTTGTAACATTTTTCCACTTTGTTTTGGGGGGCTCCTCAGACCTAAGGCTGGGAGACTTCTATTGCGATGCCCATCCTATCACCAGCTCCTCATCAGTGGGTAAGGAGGAATGGAGCCTTCTCGAGAGCTGCTTGTGTGTTTTCATCAAACGTGGCAGGCTGCCTCTCTCCTCTTCTATGACCTGAAAATGTGCACAAGACATTGGTGATGGCGATGGGGAGGAGGGGCTGGGCCTGACTTGCCTTTCTCACGCTTCCTTCAGATCTGAAGCTGTGCAGCGGCTTCATAGCTAGAGGATCTGCCTTCACTTTCTGTTTTCTTGCTAGGTCAAAGTCACCAGTCTATGGCTGAGGTAGGAAGGTGAAAGCTTCGCCCTGAGATCAGAGACCAGCCATTTTTCTGCCCTCCTAAACGTCTTCAACTCTGCTTCTTTTTGGATCAAGAGGCAGAATTAAAAATCTCTTCTTTAGAAGAAGACAGTAAACCAAGGATCAAAGCCCAGATTGGACTTCAGCACTCCTACCAACTTGACATTTGGGTCGGGGGTATCCATTACCACCCTTCCCTTTGACTGCCTGTGAATCTACACTGGCCCAGAGCCTTATTTCTGGGCCCCTGTCTATACTTTCAGAATAGCCTTTCAGGAGCAAATATAATATCCTCATCAGACAATTCCTGGGTTAGGTTGCTGAGAGGGTAGCAGTTTTGTCATGACCTCATTTTAAGCTGATGGGAAAACTCTCAGTAGATTAAATTAGGTCCAAAGACACCCTCAGACTCCAAAGGTTTCTGTGTAGCAGAAGGAAAAAATTAAGCATTAGTGCAAAGGTTATTAATGGCTGGCCATACCTTAGAGAAGGAAAAGCCAGAGGATCTTGATTGCT